GTCCTTGATTAAATGTCTTATCGCTACAAAAAGACATGTATTATACTGACAACTTTTGTCTTTCCTTTTGTAAAGGCCTCCTGTTTGGAATACTGAGAAAGCTGCCAATTTTCTTCTCAAATGTTACTAATGCACTCAGCCCCTTGAAGCAGCAGAAATCTGTACACAAATAAGTTTACAACATTTTGTCTAAAGGCCAAGTTATTTTCAGAATGAATTCAATAATGTCTTATTTAATTTAAAAAAAACCCTCTCACAATATAAATTATATTAAAGTCACATCAGCTTGAGAACACCAAGTCAAAAGCAAAACTCTGATTCTATCTTGCCTTTATTACATCTCAAGAAATTCAGTTGTCTGAGAGATACTGTCCAATGCTAGCAAAAAGATAAATAAAATAGCAATTATTTTCTTTCAATTAACTCTGTAATCTATAATCTTTAGAATTAACATGCAAAGTACTTTAGTAATTATCATTATAACCATTCTACTTAAAGCAGATATAGCTGATTATTTCCTGTGTAAAGCACATAACCCACTGACCACACTTCTCTTGCCTCCCCCCGGGATACACGAGCTGGTTTGTGTTTGTCCACATGGAATGGATGCACTCATGCACTCTCAGTGGAAAGTTACTAGTTGCACAACTGCTATGTGTGTATATATGTAGATATATAGAGATATACACATATAAATATATATATATAATATATGCAGGTGGAGGGAGACTGATACAGCATGGGGACTTGGAATAAGCAGTTTAATTCCTTCAGTTATGGATGAAAACATGAGTTAAGGGACAGCATATGTTACATATGCTGGACCAATCTGATTTAAAGCAAAGAAAAAAGGCAAAAGAACCCACGCAGTAAAACCCAGACTTATCCCAACTCTCATGTTGTATTTATGCTGCCTTTAGCTGTCCCCTCTTAACATAATTATATCATTTGAAGATATGCATAGTTGTTTACTGACTCATTTTTAGTTGTCTGTGTATCAGCAGGTCACCAGTATTGGAAAGGGAAGGGGTTAGAGGCAGAATTCTGCATTCCTGTGCTTTCAGTGGGACAGCTGTTTGGGAAAGCTTCGTCCAGCCTTGAACATTACACTCCTCCTCTGCATCAGCAAATGACTGTATCTGATAACTTGGGGTTAAAATGAATGTAGCCAAAGGCCAGACTGTGTGTGTGTCCCATACACACCCTGCCTGGGGCTGGGACTGGAGAATAAGACCCTGTCTGGTGGACTGTGATGGTGAACTCAGTACAAACAAGCTGTGTTTTTACTGCCACTTCAGACAGAACCCTCCTGTAAATCACATTGACTCCATAACAACACCTGTCTTTTTAAGTTGCCATCAATATTTTTTCTTTTTTATGATTTTCTTTCTTTATCTTAAAGTTCAAGCAAGGAGGAAAATATTTTGTTTGATTTTAAAGATACTTAATTCAGTTACTTTTCCAGTTAATCGTTCCTTTGGGCCCTAGTTGCTGAGTTGCTTGCTGTTTCTGAGGTGTAAATAAACGTTTTGATTTATGACGTGGTTGCAAAGAAACTTGTAATTTATTTGTGAAATGCTCAAATAAAGGATGTATGGGCTTTTACCTTCTGTCTGGACGTAGACCTTGCTGATGGAGCACAGCAGGAAGGGAGGACTACTGACAAAGGACTGGAAGAGTGTGTAGGAAATACCAGAAATGCCTAGGTTGCTCTTAGTGAGAGAGAGAAATTGCAGCCTTCATCATCATCATGACATGGGTTTGGAAGGAGAATCTGGAGATTAGAGAGGTAAATGGAATCATAGACTCATAGAACGGTTTGGGTTGGAAGGGACTTTAAAGATCACTTCTTGAATGATCTAGAGATCATTCCAATCCCCCCTGCCGTGGGCAGGGACACCTTCCACCAGACCAGGTTGCTCGGGGCTCCCTCAACCTGGCCTTGAACACTCCCAGTGATGGTTTGACCACACAAGATTAAGGTTTGACCACACAAGATTAAGGTTTGACCACACAAGAAAGCAGCAGCTGAATATTCAGGCAATAACTATAATTTGCCCTCTAAAGGCCCATTTCCATTACAAAGCTGCCTTGAGCCAAACTCGGGTCAGATGTTCCCAGGCTGGAATATGGGCAAGAGCTTGAATGGATTTATGTTGCACTTCCTTTTTGCTTCACCTGACCACCTTTTCCACCTAACACCATCTGTTGAGCTTGTAGAGAACAGCCAGACACAAATAGTGCACAAACAATGCAGAATCAGGTTGAACAAACATCTCTTTACCAGGGAATTCTTCTTCCAGCATAAAATTAGAGACTGTTAGCTTTCAGAAATTCCTTTGAGTTGTTTTTTAGATCCTCTAGGAAGTTATCTAAAGTGACATAGCCACATGAACATAGAATATCCCTGAAAATAGCCTTTTAATCCATCTGAGAATAGAGGAAGCTGGGGAGGGAGGGCAGCAGTTGGAGGAAACATTTGAGTACAAACCCCAGCAGCTTGTACTGCCACCAAGACCCTCCTCCAGCTTCTGCCTGTTGCTGATGCTTTATTGGACTTTGAACCTAAAGGGATTTTTTCATGTGGTCCATAATAAGTACAGGATGAAAGAGTGTACATGAAGCATGTGGTGTAATTGAGCAAAAGGTCATTACCTGAAAGCCACAGCCAAAGTGTGTCACCTCCTTTGGTCTCAGCTGAGGTCATTGTCCTAAACTAAGGCTGTGCCTCGTGCCTTAGAAGACGTGTTTGAAACAGCACAAAGTGAAATCATAAGCAATGAAACACTAACAGAGACAGAAAATGCTGAATGGTTTTTAGCTGGATAGAAGTTTTGAGCTGCCCTTTCAACCTTCCTGTGTCTCCCTCAACCCCACATGTTCTGGATTGCACTCTGCTGTGAGTCGGTAACTTTGCACTCCTCAACCCAGTTATGTTTTTTCACCAGTAATAGTAAATCAGATCAGTCCCTTCTGCCTTCAGTACAACCTCCTTACCTGCAGAAACAAAGCAAAGGTCATTGCTCCTGCTGCAAAGCCATTGGGATGTTCTTCCTTGACCTCCACAACTCTGGTTGGACTCCACTCATCCAGCTCCCAGTGCCCAGTGACCTTCACTGCCCCTGGGGCTGCAGCGGTGAGTTACTCCAGTCCAGTACAATTCCTCTGGATATAACAGCACATCTTACTATTTACTACTCATTTCACAGCTTACTGTTTCCACATGCCATTGTGGGCTATCACCATCAGTTCTGTGGCTGGATGTACTTTTTACGACAAACTGCCTGAAACAAGAAAAGAAAAAGTGTTTAGACTTCTTGGTTACTTCAAGGCATGTTGAAAATTCAGAATGTAAAACAGAGCTGGACATTTATAATTAAGTGTGTAATGTAATTAACACCAGTGATTATAACCTGCCTTGGGGTTACAGTGTGCAGTGTTGGCTTGGCTAGCACCGAGGGAGTTAGCCTTTGGTGGGATTTAGACACCCAGCTCCCACTGGAATCACTAAAACCTCAGAAGCCTAACAGCTGAACCCCCTCTCCCTTCCCCAACTGATAAAATAATTATATAACTACAAAGCATTTCTTTTCTTTAAAGCCATCATGAGCTAATATACACTAACATTTTCCCTATATCTCCAAGGTAACTTAATAGTCATCCTGTTTCATACTGAGCAAAACCTCCAGGGAGCAGGTGCCCCAATTAACAGATTCTCAGCCTTTCATATCAGTGATTGCCAAAACACAAAAGAACAACATGTAATTCATGTGGGGATCATAGAGAATGTGACAGAATAGAAAAAGCACAGTAGAAACTATATATTGCAGTAATTAGAATAACCCTTGTTACAAGACAGTGTGTCTAAAGGAAAGATTAGATTTTTTTTTTGTGCCATTAAATTCACATGTGCAAGCTGAGACCATTTAGGTACGTCATGTAAGAACCAGACAGTGCTGAAAAACCCAGTCATGGTGCCTGGCACGTTTTGCCATTGTTGCTAATGCCAAAAACTACGTTAATCCATGTGAAAACAGCTTGCTCTTGGATCCTGCATGGAGAAGTCAAAAGAGAGATGGCTCTAGCGAGAAATTCTTTGAGCTGGGCAGAACCCCTGTACCCTCAGCCCTGCCAAGGGCTCAGTGCAGCTGCCCATCTTCACCCTGGCAGAGCTGACTGCAGGGGTTTGACCTGTGTGTGCCCCCCAGGCCGTGTCCTCTTGTGCTTTCAGACCCATCAGACCACAGAGTGCCCCTTCTCGCTGTGACAGTGACAGAGCTGCAATAGAGGTACAGAAACAGAGGGCACAGTTCCAAACCACCCTGGCAGTAGAAGATTGACCCTCCTGGGAAGCTCAGTCACCTCAGTGTGATGACTAAAGAGTCAGGGTGCAGAGGTACCTCGTTCCGGTACCTCAGGCAGGCACTGGCCAGAGATCTGAACCCTTCCCAGTGGAGGCACTGCCACCTCAGCCCCCAGACACAGGGCAGGAGTTTTGGAAGCCCTGTTGTCATGTGCCAGCTGAGCAGAGTCAGTCTCTGCCCCAGACTCCTGCCAGATATCACCCCTTGGATCAGCCCTGGTGTGCCTGTCAGGCCCCACATCCTGCTGTGCTGTTGGTCAGCAATGGTACAAGATGATCAGACACCCACCCCCAGCAAATGAAACAACACTGTTATGTGAAGGGTTTTCTCTTTGGTTGGACGTTTCCCCCTCTTTCTCACTCTCTTAACACAGTTCTCATCCTGTTTTCCATGCACTGACATCCAGCCATCACTCTTGCAGTGGTGCTCCAGCTTGGCACCTTTTAAAGACCCATCAGGGCTGGATCTCTTCTCAGTTCTGTAATGAACCTACTTTTAATCGTGGTTGTCTGTCCTCACCCACACACCTGGTGAGCTGCAGCACTGTCTCACACTCCTAATTTCTGTTCCTTGGCATTGGGTACTTTGTTCTTTAGCAAATGAACACCGAGTACCTGAAGCCAATGCAAATGTGTGCTGTACTCAACTCTGTCTTCTGGGCTTGAGTGGATGCAATCCAAGGCTTGTTTTCTTCAGGTCTTTCTTCAGTTCCAAAACCCTCTTGTTAGAGCAGCTCTTCTTTGTCTCTTGTCCTGCTTAAGCTAAACAAGGGAGGGAGGCATTATGTGCATTTAAGTGCCATTATTTAGTGAAGGTATAACTCATAACAAAGAGAGATACATGAGTGTAATGGATTTATTGTTCAAATCAGAGTAATAAAATCTGTATGTATATATATAAATATAAGCAGTTAAGGTGATGAGCTTCATTATTACACATACACAAAATAATAAGCTATTATTTTAATTGGTTATTAAACAGTGGATACTCATTAAAAGCTCAGTTCATTGGGAAAAAGAAAAAACCTACAATGCAATTAAACTGTACTGCAGACTAATTAATATGGGAATTGGGGCAATTCTGGTACCTTTAAAGAGATGGAGGTGGGGACAGTCAGCAGCACAGACTTGTACCACTCATCTTCATTAGGTGAGCAGATGGATTTTTCTCCTACTTCAGGGTTTTGATGAAGTTCTATTTTTTTGTTTTAGTTTCAAAGGGAACGGGGGTGGGGGAGGAAACTGGAGTCTTTTCTAATATGGATCTTCACACAGTCTGGAAAAACACTCCTAAAACCAAAAAAAAAAAATATGAATAGATTCATACATAGCCCCCATAACAGTCATCCCTCACTTTGTTTCTCTACAGACCCATTGTTACCACTGTGCATCTTTCCTTTAAACAAATAAATTTAAAAAGCTCCAAGACTTAACAATTTAAAGAATTGTTAAGACTTAAAGAATTCTCAACCTGCTTAGCTCCTCAGCCATGCAGCACCTTTTCCCTCTGGAAGATCCCTGTTAGTTTGTTCTCACCAAAGGCTGCTGTGTCAGGAACCATCCTTACAAACTGTCCGATGTCTTGTGAGTCAGAAGACATTTACTGGTTATAAACCAGACTTTCATGGAAAGTATTTGGCTTTCTTTCTCCTAACTGACATGAAAGAAGGATGCCAAATCTCTAAGGAAACACCACTGAAGAAGCCTGCTAGACTCTTGCTTTCTGTTTGTATTTTTAAGCACTCAATCCAACAGACAACCTGCCTAGAAGTAGGATGTCTCAGGAGTCAAGATGGTGAAAACTTGCCCCTCATGTTTGATAGCACAAGCATCATGTAAACAGTTAAGTAGCAGAGGGCTCTCTTGCAAAGATTTGCTAAGAGTAGTTGTTTACACCCAAACCCAGGATGGGCTTCAGGCTAAAAGCCAACCTAAAGCTTGAGGGTGTTGATGGTGTTTCAAGCCTTTTCCCTGGAAGTCTGGGTCTTGTATCTTGGTGGGAACTCCACAAACCTGCCAACTCTGATTTCTGCCCTGTGGAGGTCAGTCTTTCATTACACTATACAACTTTACTACTGCAACCAAAACTAAAGCACAGGTCTAAGAGGTTTTTAGCGTCTGATGCTTGACTGATCTAAGGTTTTGGAAGTCCAGTTGGCTGTTTCTATTGCTTTACACCTGCACACATTTACACACCTGGTGCATTTACACCAAAGCACAGGACTGTGAATCAGCTCAGCTTCATTCACCAGTGCTTTCCTCCCACTTTGTAAAACTGGAGTTGGCTCTGCAGGATGACACACACTGATCTGACATTGGATTGCTGTGCTCTGTAGCTGTGGTGTGATGCAGAACCCTTTTCACAGGTACTAATTCAAGAGGCATGTCACTGGCCTTGCACAGTGGGCTTCTTTCGAGCCCTCCCTTGCATTTTATTGTTATTTCTTTGTTAATAAATAAATAAAATCCCTGTTGGTTTATGGCTGTAAGAGATGAAAGAATTCTTTTTTTCCATGTCAACGCTGCGCAGTGCTGACAGAGCCTGGCAAGAGCCAAATCCTGGCTCAGACTTCTGCTCTGTTTTCCTTATTAGCATTTTGCTTGGCTGTCCCTGCCAAAGTCTCCTGGACATCTCTGAACTCTGTGAATTGTTGCAAATATTGCAATGCCCAAGTGTGAAATGAACTGCATGGAAACTCCTGGGAACCTGTTACCAGTGTATTAACCATAACCTCAGGTTCACAGGAAACAACAGGCACCTGTTCAATGGGAAACATGTTCTTAAACTGACACTCAATTATCGCTGCATATTTTAGCATAATTCTTGCACCTTATCTAGGACCTACCATGAGCCTGTTTATTAATTTTAAAGCAGTCTACACAAACCAAGACAAAACTGAGAATATGAAGGACTGGAGTACACAAACACCCTCAGCATTTTAACAGAATCCCGGAAAACCTTCTGTTGAATGGTGCAATTATGGTTTAGTTGAATGTGAATGGAGACAACAATTTATATAAGCCAGGTGCTTGATCTTAATAATTACCTCTAAGGTATCAGAATCATCTAAGAAAGATTTGCTTTAAAAAAACCCCAAACAACCAAACCCAAAACAAACACAAAAATACCCCACAAAAAACAATACCTCAAAATAAGAAAATGAGACTGAACAAAGAAAATGATAAATAGTGCACCAGAAACCTTTCTTTTAACCATGGAATACCTTAAACGTTTAATAATTATAGTCAATATTTTCAGACTGGGAAGTTAAACTTATTGTCTAAAACAATTTAAAAAGTATTACATGTTTTCAACCATTACCTGCATTTTAAATATATCTGTATTATCAATAACCTACTATAAAATTAAAAACCATCTATATTCATTTAGTGGCCCAGGAATGAGTGTAGCCCTAAAAAACAAAACAACCCAGCTCTTATTCATATCTACAATAAAGGGGCTCTGAAGGGACATCTTTTCAAACTGATATTTTCAGAGCTCATTTATACTTCCTGCAATTCCTCCAGCCTGATCCAAACTATCTCTGAATAATGGTTAATGATTAATGTGCTATTAACCACGGTCTCACTCCTGAATATTTAACTGCTTTGACAGTAGGATGGTATATTTGCATTTTATGTTAATACCAGACAAATTTAACTTCTCAATTGAATGTGGAAGCCTCAGAGTGACAGGTCTTTCCAGCCACAAACAGCTGTGCTTAATCTGAAATCCTTCATCCTTCGGGACTGGGACACAGAATTATTGCCAGGAATAAGCATTTCTAAGGATGGGGACAGGATAGAGATAATTTGCCATGACTGAGTGAATAATATTGAATCCTTGATAGCTGAATTATTGTCTCTTATTTGCTACATAGAATAATCTGTGTCTAAAAATATTTTCTACTTTTAGAACTCGCAGAGGTAGGCACCCACACACCATATATTAATGTATATACACCATATATGTGTGGCTTCTTTCCAATTAAGCTTCTAAGAAACAAGCAGAAAAGCCAGATAATGGATCCAGGTAATTTGCAGGATCCAGGTAATAGGCAGGTTAAAATATAAATATACATTATTCTTTATCATGTCCCAAAATAAGATTGAAAATAACATCTGAGCTATTACACAGGATGTTTTCTCCTACTCCAGCAGAAAATTCTACCATTGTATTAGCAATGCAAAAAAGGCTGGAACTGCACTTAAATAAAATCTTTCTTCCATCACAGCCAGGAAAAGTTCCATTACAGGAACAGATTTTATCAGGGAGCTCTTATGGCTACCAAACTTTGGGATAGTCTGGAAGAGCTCCCTGCTGATGTCAGGCCTCAGGGATTGCATGGACAGACACACAGAAATAGTTTTAGGGACATGATTTTCGTCTTTTAAGAGATGTAAGGGACTGTATTCTGGAGTGCAATCACTCTCACAGCAACATGTAATTTGAAACCTACAGGCTAAAAATATGCAATTTGATCTCTAGAGTTACATTCATGAGGGACTTTCATTCTGTTGGGCACGGGAAAGATCTAGAAACACATATGAAGACTGCACAGTTCTCCCGATACATTCCTTTTTAATTTTTCTTTCTCTAATCTTCTCAGACTTCCCTTCTCCCTCTGAAAGAGATGCTCTGACAACTCTTCCCTGCTTTCTTGTTAGCATTTCAGATCCATGTTCACTCCTGAACCTGCATTCAGGCAAGTCACACTGACACCAACATCAGATTTTTAAGGAGAAAAATGAGTCCATTTTACTGCTAATTACCATTAGCTGCCATTGTTTCCTGTGTTAAATAACTTGTATTATCATCCCTGCATGCCTGATCTCTTACCTCCATTACTCATCCTCTGGTAACTCCTATCTCCACCTCATTTCTGGGTTATGTCTTTGATGGACCAAGTGATTATTTTTCAGCCAATGATCCAATTTACGAATAAAGTAAAATATCCCTCAAATCACTCACGTTTGCCTTCATTTCAAGTAGCTTAATCTGTCACTTCTGAATGGTGTTTTCTAATGGAGCATCTCATTTTCTCCTTTTCTCTCCCTTCTTTGCAGTCACACCAGTTGTAACCTAACGATGAACGAGATAAATTGATTAAATGGATGAGTTCTGCATGAAACAGTTCCAACTGGAAAAACACTTAATGGTGGTTAAATATTCTACAGTTGTATACAGCACCTGAAAAATGAGCATGACTAATACAGCAGTCAGAACCCTTTGAAAATGCCTTTCTGGGCAGAATTGGGCAGGTTTACTGACATGTATTTTGTCATGTCAGCTCTAATTAAGCCTGTCTAATTACTTCTCTTACAAGGGTTTCAGGCTGAGCACATAAATTCTTGCGGACATTATCTGCTGTAGGTGTATAAATGTCCTGCAGAATAATAGGGAGGAGAGATCTGGAGGAAAAGTTAACACTTTTCATTAGACTACGTGACATAATTGGGAGAACAGACAAGATTTTGGACACAGAGGATTTCTGCTAAACATCAAGAAAGAGTGATTTCACTGTATGTCCAAAAGAATGCCCATTTTTTTTCCTTACCTCTCTCAGCTGGTCAGATAAAAGTATTAAAGACCTTTCCTGCCTCATACCCTTCTAACTCTGAAACCATTGACACATACAAAACACATCTAGTGGAGAAAAGCAGCTCTCAGATGAACAGATTTCTCTTTGGTTGGGTCTGTTTGCAGCAAACCAAAAAGGAACTAAAGGAAATTAAATGGCTTCTGCTCACGTGTCATCTCGCCCTGGGAAACCTTTTCTGCAGAGTGGAACAGCTCCAGCCAGCAATGGCACCCCCAAAATTGCCATAAATTGGTGATGAGGGTACACTGCTGGGACATGCCAGATACTGGGTGTTAGGTGCTTATATAGTCCCAGGGAAAGAAAGAAATGCAGTGTTTATTTTCTCACTTTGAAGGACCCTCTCCTGCATCCACTGGGTGTCTTATGCTCTTTGATATATAGGTAGGTATGAGGACACCTGCAATTCAGCTCTTGCTCAGCCTTGCCATAAAAAAAGGCTTAAAAAAACCACCAAAACTGAGCTGAACAAACAAAAAACAGCCCAAACCAAGAACTGAGAGTGCTTGAGGTGACAGAGGTGGCAGATACAGACCAGCAGTTGAGAAGCATCTGTCCTTATTGCCCTGAAAATATGGCATCACTTTCCATGAATCTGCACAAGATCATGGAGAATTATCCTCTCTGAACTCTACTCTGAAGTGCAAATGGTATTGAGTTTCAACTAGGAATTATCCAGAAGCAGGTTGTTATTTTTACTTGCTGTTGCTCAAGGAAATGGTGCCACCACAGTTCCCCGTGCATCTCACCAAGTCTATGATTTTGATTTGCATTTATTTGATCAATTGAAGAGGCCAACAAGGGTTAAAAGTGCAGTACTTAATGTAAGAAACATGGGGAGGAGGAAACAGGGCCCAGAAATTAATTCCACTTTGCAAATTCATGTGCTAATTTAAATTGGGGAAAAAAAAGCCATAAGCTTACTCTCCAGGGTTCAGTTGGGAACAAGGTTGGGCTGCAGGTAGAATTTAATTACCACAAGGTTTTAAATGATTATTGCTTGAAAAGGCTGGTGCCAGAATCACAGTTAGTTCCTACTTTATACTAAAAAAAAAAACCCAACCCTGACATCATGTCCCAAAAAAACCTCAAGAGCACAAAACCTCCTCACTAAAATCCTCACACAAAGGTTTACACTACTGTCTGTAAACTGCACACATTTAGTAGCAAAAGGCTTTTATTGTACACAGTTACCATATTTTAGTCTGTGACATTATTTGAATGTTGCCATTGTAGTTGTTTTATGGTGGCCTTGGCTCTTCTAATTTAAATATCTCTGTCAGAATTTAATTTGTCAGGAAAAAAAAAAACCACAAGAATATTTGCAAAACACAATGTTCTGATCGAACCGATAAGAAAGCCAGAGCCTTCCAAGTTTAATCATATTCAGCATTTCTGTGCTTTTGTTTTAAGTGTAGAAACATAATGAAATAATTCCATACCATAAAGCTCGATGAAAGGGGCAATTAAAAAGGAATCGATCTGATACATCCTGTTCCTCGCATTACCATGCTCTGGAAAGTGTAAATCACTCTCTCCATTGTTGCTAAAGCTTTTGTTTCCCATCTTGATTAGGCAAATATTGAAAACAATAATCATTTTTCACCAAAGTGAGCCTTTAATATGGAGTAGAAAGGGAGCACTATGGATATTACATTTTCCACAGAAGACTGGCTTTCACATTAGTGTTTGCTATTAGCACATTTCATGTCATTCCATCATAGTGTCTTTCACTCAAATCCTACATTTGTTGGAGCAGATGGAAAGTTAGTTTAAATTAATTGAAAGCATGCTGTGCACAGCTTGTGGCACCAAGAACACACAAAGAAGAAAGGAAGATACATCAATTTCCTTTCTAACATACCTATAACTGGGAGAAGAGATCTCTTAAGAAATCATCAAGATATTATGCTGCTTTTTTCTCTCTCTTTCCTTTTATTTTTTTTTTTTAAAGAAGCTATGTTGCTTTGATTTTTACAAGAGGAGGATGCAGTGGAATTGGGTGGATATTCATCATTTGAAAAATAAATTCTGCCTGGGATGGTTCCTAATACAATGATGTAGAGAAAGTTGGTTTGTTTCTGTAGCCTATTCTTAGAAATACTGACAAGTTTGAAGGTTAATTACCTCTTCACTTACTTTAGTTAACACCACCTTCCTGTATTTGGATCCTCAGCTTTTCTTCTGTCTTCACTGAAAATCCGGTGGCCTCCTCTGTTCTCTGAGCCAACAGGCAAAGATGTTATTAATTCCAGAATCACCCAAATGCCTGAAAATCACATGGACAAACTCCTGCTTCTTTACAGTGGTCAGTACTGAGACATTCTTCAGTATCTTCACAATTAAAACCAGGTTCAAAACTGCCACAGAACAGATCATGTCATGAACAGAGGCTCTTCAACCAAGCAATAATGGAAAGTTTTATCAAATGATTAATTTGATCCTTTAAAAAAAAATAAATACTCCAAGTATTTGTATATAGTGGTGTGGAACTGTGGGTGGGAGGGAGCAGGTGTTGGGAAGGGAGATGCTGGATCTGGATCTGTTTGGTTGGTGAGCTCTGCTGTGCTGAAAGGCTGAGCAGGCAGGAGGAAGGTTTGTGTTCACATCTGTGTGGCCCAGGCCAAGGTGAGACCCTCTGGCACGAACAGGAGTTGTTACATCTTGTAAAGCAACTGAAAGTACAGAAATCAATGAGGAAAAGCAGGTCCTGGGTTACAAGGTGGGAAAAACAGGCAGAAAACAATCAGCCTGCAGCAGAAGCCTGGTGGGTTTGCTGGGGAGCAGAGGTAGAGTCAAGCTTTAGAGGTGAGGGAAAGGAAACAGTGCCCCAGAGGGACTGAGAGCTGGAACTTGCTGCAAACAAGGAACACACTGAAACTCACTGGACTGAGAAAGACCTCAAGGGTCCTGCATGAAAATGGAGAGAGCTCTGTCATTTTGGTCTGTCTTGCTGAGTTTCCTCTGTTTCAAATGCTCTGTTCCAGTTTGCATTCAGATAAAAGCTGCCTTTTGGGTTTTAGAACCCTCTCGCTCACCTTGGTGTCTCTTTCTCACCCAGCTCATCTCTTTGGTGTCTCAACCCTAGACACGCTTTGCTTTTCTTCTCCAAAAAGGTCAAAAGGTAAGAAGAAGGTGGGAAAACATTTTTTTCAGTTTGCTCTTTCGGTCTTTTAGTCTTGAACTGCTCCAAGGCTGACGGGGAACAAAACTAAACCAATACGTTTTGGTTCTAGAAAAGTAAAAAGTTTTGCTGTAAAAAGTTTTGCTGTAAAAACTCAAAGAAACTGAATACAACCCACATTTTTTTCCCAAATGAATAAGGTAATTTTATACTGAGGCATTTATGCCCTCTCCATTCTGACTGTAAGTGTTGAACTTGTACTGTTGGGGCCTTTTTTCTGCCAGTCACTGAACGCACTTTACCATCTCTCCTCCTTGCAAATCAAACACAACTGTAGCAACTGCAAATGAAAAAGATAAAATAATGCAAACCTTTCCCAATGCTGCCTGTCTGGCTTCAACTTCCATCTTTCCAGAGAGCCTTCAGACACTACAGCTGAGCCTGTCTTTCTTTTTTCATGATCTTCATGACATCACTTATCCCCCAAGTTTACTTCTTGTATTAGATAGCCCCAAAATTCAATTATACTCTTCTAAGACTTTATAAAATTTTTGCAGCATTTTTTTCTTCCACAACTATATTGATATCTCCTTGCTTTTTCCAAAACTTTTTATTTAAATTCTTTCCTTATCATTTTTAGGCACTCTCAATTTTATCCTTTAAACCATGGTGCCTGCAGAATTTTCACTTGTTTTCTACATTGTACAGGTTCTTTATGGGCACCTGACCCAGCATTTTCCTCTGTTCTTAAAAAACTTTATCCCAGCCTGTATCACAAGTCTTTCCTGCTCAATTCACAGCAAAATTATGCTCCTTCCTGCCTGCCAAACTCCTTGACTCATAAGCAAAATGCAGCAGCAGAATGCAAGGGAAAATTTGGCTCTGAGTTTATAACTTCTCTTGAGCACATGACAGGTGTGTTAGTTCATATTAAGAGAGCTCTTTGGAAATTCAGAGGGTTGTACAGGTAATCACTGTTTGATTAATAATTTACACCACCAACAGGACAGAAATGAAAACTGGAGAATGACAATCTCAGAGCAGCTGTGTGCCTGTCAAATATGGTAATTTTTTACCCTTCTTCCTCTGTTTGGGCCCTGCTTAACCCCATGCTGAGTTGCCTTTCTAGAACACAACCCCTACAACACTCATGAATAATTAGATAGTCAAAAAGAAATAGGGAATGGATGAGAATTAACTTCTCACCTCCCAGGATCACTTGAAGATTAATTTACCTAAAAACTAATTAAGGCATACCACAAGCACAGAACCCTGAAAAAAATGAAGAAGAAAGGGCAAAGAAAAAAAACCAGTTAAACCAGAACCTTCCATCTCTGAATCTACAGACAAGCAATCTTAGTTCTTCTGGGAAAAGCTACCAGATTAAATCCCCAAAGTCTATTTTTACTAAGGAGTAAATGAAACCATGATGCAGCTGGAACGAAATCCTTCAGCCCTTCCACTGACACCTGCAAGAAAAGTAAATGTTATTACATGAAACTCCTTTCTGAAGATAAAAGTCCAATCTAGTTTTAAGATTCCAGAGCTTAGATGGCTGTGGGCACGTGGAACCCTTTCACTGAGTTTGCCACTTTGTGCCAGTTTAATAGCAGCCAAGCCATTAGTTAGTGGGGGTTATTAAGGAGAATAAGTGAAGTCAGCAGCTGTATCAGAGAGTCAATGACATAATTAACACCTTGGTTTAGAGGTGATTCTTTCCCCATCGGGAGGAGAAAATTAGGCAATAGGGAGATTCCCTGCATGGAAGGATTTATTCCTACGCCTGTGAACCTGTGCTGGGCACAAAGGCCAGATCTGCTGAAAGTTGAAAAGAAAAGAGGATGAGTAGAATCCAAAATCCTAATTAGGGCAGTAAGAGTTTTATGGCTGGCTGAGTTTTTAATAGATATTGAAGGGTAAGCCAAGACTAACAATCTGAGATAGACTCTAGCTAAGTGAAGGTGAACGATCGTGACATTTCTCAGACCTCACCCAGGATGCTCAGTGGGGAGCAGAAGATTGAGGAACTGATTTCCACTGCAGGAGCCACTTCTAGAAAGAAGCAAAAACACAGGGATATGCAAAAAGTCAACATTTCAGTGAACTCTTCCATATCAGCCTAATAAAATTATACCAAACATTGTAAAGTGGGACAATAAACTGTGTAAAAATATTATGATGATGTTGAGTATTAATTGAGAATTTTTTAATTTTTTTTTTACACAGACGTAAAGTACATTTTCCTATTAAAGTTTTTGAATAAGTTCATCTTCTCAGTTTTTTATATAAGAAAATCCCTCTAATATCACTCCAGTATGGAGACAAATAATGAATTTCAACTATCACAAAAAGAGAAATACAGTCTTTCCTTGAGAAGTTAAAAAAGACAGGGAATCTAGAGATTCCCTATGCACAGTGTTTCTCTTATGGTTTTAAATTTTTTTTCCTAATTTCTCTGTGTTTAAACAGCAGTCAGTTCCTGTTCTCTCTTTCCTTAGCAAAAGTACCTTTTTTTACCTGCTGTGCTTTCCCCCCACTTAATTATTTCTACATGGCAACTGAATTTGTTGAGTGTCATCTTTACATGCTATTTACCATCTTTATTTCTCTCCAGTTCTTAAAAATCCTTCTAGGGCCTCTTTTTTTTCGTCTCTAAACTTACCATAAATCTAAAGAAACAATAAAGACACCAGAACTAAAACATGTTTTTTGATAATAATCTCAGCAGTGCCGAATTCCAGAGATAATCCAGTTCCATCCAAGGCAGAATTCCCCACTTTTAATTTTACAGCTAAAACATGCAGCTCTGGAAAGATGACTTTATGATGGTTGAGTGCAGCCAAGCCTCCAAATTCAACCAAATTGAGAGTGTGTGACCAGAGCAAAAGAGAGGATGGGGAAGAGAGAATGTGTGAGAGGACAAGCTCGGGATGAGCACTTTAGATGTTTGCCATCGATTTTATTTGCCTCTGGAGCTATTAGGGGAACATATAATGTGTTTAGTTGCCTTTTGGTGAGATATCAACAGCTGGAAACATAGGGAGTGAAAAACCATCTACAGCCAGTTGGCACTTGGCAGTTCCAGTGGTCCATGGAGGGAAATTTTGGAAGCTCTGTTCTATAACTCTCTATTGCTGTTATCTATTAACTCCACAGCCATCTGAGGGCTTTTCAGCAGAGAAGAAGCTACTGATGCAATTCAACATTAACTGTAGAAACTATAGTAAGGTGAATGAGCAAAATTTATAAATGCTGCTGCCTTATCCAGAGAGATCAGAGTTTTCAAGTCCTGTCAAATTTTGTGGTTGCCAGGGTAACAGGTTTGCAATTCTAATGGTCCCTGAGAGCCTGGGAGATTGTACAATACACAATCATCTTCTACTACCTCCCTAAACCATGTAGTTCTGGACACACATAACTGGTTTCAATCAAATATGGCAAGAATTTCCATGTCAAATGTCCCTGAGTAAAGTTAAGAACAAATGTTCAATTAAACTGCGTGTTTAGTCCTTCTCTTTTGATACCAGCCCTGCAGAAACGATTTGCCTTTCTGTTTATTGAAAAAAATGCCAGAAGTTATAACATGAATCCCCTGCACATGTGGGGCTCAAGCTTTACCTGCACATTATGGAACTGATTCTATCCCATCTCCATGAAATGCAGCACAAACATCTAAGGGTAGGTGCAATTAGCAATTTTAAATTGGCTTTCTTAAAAAAGAAGAGAGCAACATAAAAGAGGAAAGACATCTGTGAAACTGCCACGAGTGAAACACAAGTGAGACTACAAAATCATGAAAAATATATTTACCTACTCCTTTGAGGGCAGTTACCTTCCTGTTTTTCCTCAGATAAAAATGACACCAATTTGCTATCCATGAGGTTGTTACATTTGAACAAGCTTGAAAAATCGTGAGCAGAGAGAAACTTCTCCCTTTTCACAGATAAAATTTTTTCCCTCTCTCTTTCTCTTGTTCTCTTTTATTTTCTTATTATTTTTTTCCTCCAAAAGAAATTCAGAGAATCTAAAACACTTCCAGAAAATGGAATTCTGGAATGGGAATGTGCTACCTGGTCTCCAGTGGCAGCCAGATCAGCCTGTACCTGAGCATTAATGTCCAGTCACAGCTGTCACTTACCAGGACACCACAGCTTCAGGTGACCACACCATCACTGGTGGTAAAATGGCATCATGAAAAGATAAATAAAGGACTTACCATAACAAAATGAATGTTAAAAGTGCTCCTATGTGTAATTGAATTTCTGGGAGCACAAAACGCTTCTGAGGACTCGAACAAATATTCTCCAGCCATTTTCTCTCTTTGAGCCTCTTATACTTCCTGTAAACAGGTAGCTGAGGGTTACAAAATTCATCATAAACAAAGGGTCATATTTTGAAAAAAAAAAAAAAGTCACCTCTTGCCCATTTGTGTTTTGTTTCTGTCATCTCTAAAAAGAACAAATAATAAACAGGGAATGGCTCTCAGAGCAATGGGCACTTCAGATTGTTGGTGTAAATTAAATTTCATCTTCAAGCAGAAAAGTAAAGGGTATAAAACATGAAAAGCTATGCATCACCTTTAGCCATTTGGGGTGAAAAAGTAACAACAGGTGTTTGAGTAGCCACTCAAAATAACCTGGAACTGTAACAGCTCACTCACAAATGACCTGCAAATCAAAACTTACCAGTAAAGAATTGCAGCCAATATTTTTAGTATTTAAATATATAACCAGGCTAAAATCTGTCTCCAGATCTGCCACCTGTAACTTATGTATTCACCATCATTCTAGTTTCATTATTAAATAGTTCCTTCTTTCTTAAAAAAAAAAAAAAAGTCTCAAACAAGTCATGTGCAGAGGGAGGGAGAGGGGAAGTAAAGTTATTTAATACATTATTCACTAGAAATTACTCTAACAGCTTTATATTCAGCCTCGTGGTATCATTGCTTGAGGCAGAGATAACCTTCACCAAGTGTTTCCAAATTAGGTGTCACATAATACCCTGGCTGATATTGTCAATCCAGCCCTGTACAGCACATGCAAATGGGAACTGTGCCGTGCTCCACGAGGCACTGTGTAAAAATCCAACAGAAGGAAACAAGGCTGGAGCACTTATCTTGCAGGAACAGAGACGAATCTTTGGGGGAATTAGCTCAGGCCGTTGCTGTCAGGCTGCTCTGCTGCCGAGTTACATCTGTCACAATAATTCATCTTTTAATGGCTGGAGACCTGCAGCTGTAATTCTGCACTAAAGTCTATCCTAAAATTTATTGAGGAAGTTTCAGTGTGTTGGGGCTACATTTCTAGATGGGTTCTAATCTTCGTTAACTCTCAGGAGGCAGAGCTGCAGGAGACCATTTGTGCCCAGCTCTGGGAGCACTGAGAACTCACCACACTCAGCACTTACCTTGGCTGGGGTCCTGATCCTACCACAGGGGTTGGTGTGGGACCAGACAACTGAGGAGAGACCTCAGATGCTCAGTGGGTATACCCAGGCCTTTCAGGGATAAAGTCTTTCCCATTCCTATCAGAAGACAGCTCATGGTTACAAACAAACCCTTGGGAAAAAAATTAAATACACACACACACATACACAAATATATATATATGCTCTCCTTACTGAGATCTTCAGAAAAGCCTCATAAACCTGAACTACTTATGGGTGGCACTGTGCAAGCTTATTAAAATGAGATGGCACATGTTTTTAGTAGCAGGAGACATTAAAGAAGGACTCAGGAAGGTCCTTGTTGATGTTGTATTCAAAAATTTGTTGCAGGAAAAAAAAGGGAAATCACCTCTAATGATGTGAGAATGGAAGAATTTATTGCTGCTCCAATTAAAATCAAGCAAAAGATGTTACTCACCCAGTTAAAATGTCACCTGCACAGCAACACAAATTGTTTGATTAAAGGAGGTGGGGGAAAGAATT